TGTAACCGCAAGAAAGCTGGGTCGGTCCAAGTTCACCACTATTCACCTGAGCAGTGAACACCAACACCGCTATTGACTCTCGGTATACGCTCACCAATTTTTGATTGACACAACACACCTGTGAAGCCTCTACTTCACATGCGAAATATCTCGTTCCACGCACCAGCAAAGAATGGACCACTTATCCTAACTACACGTGTGGTTGACTAGGTCGCCCCTACAAAGAACGACCATTACTCCAGGTGTGGCTTACTACCTCTATTCCACACACCAACGTGAAATGCAACAAAAATTAGCTTATTTCCCGCACCGACAAAGAATGCTACTAGGCCGAATATACACTTCCTGCTGGCAGTAACCTAGCGGTGACACTCAGCCCTTCCAGAAAGCCTAACCATTAACTATGAAATCTCCCGCCAGCAACTATAGTGGTCTCCTAGTCAACCATACAAACACACACCGCGTGCAGCTATCCTAAGTCAACCATACACAACTAGCACTCAGTAAAACAAAGACTGCTTACCTTATAGCTTCTCTTCACTGCACTGCCCGCGCACACACTACCTCGTGCACACGGCACGGCCGGACAGCAAGCAGCCAATCACAACGCTACAATCTTTTAACTAAACTAAGTCGCACATTCGCTACAATACAATACATGCACTTGTATATATGTGCTAGTAGTACCCATTGTGCACAATTTATCAAGCAGACATGACAGGGAATTTTCTAACGTCAATTACAAAGACACGCAGTACATTTTGAAACAAATGGACATGTTGATGAGTATAAGGGGTTAAATATTGTAAATCTTCATTAATTTGTGTAACATGGAACTTTTAGGCACATGAAGACAAGCTTGGAAAACATTATGCCTGTACCACATGCAAAAAAGTTAACTGTCACAGCTAAATATACATGTACAAGTGCCTCTTCAACCCAATATGATGCTCCCTACATTGTACTTGCCCAAATATGGGTACATTTCTACTTCCAGGTGACCAACATGCACAAGAGAGGGTAAAGACCTGTGATGAACTTTGAAAACAAAGGATAAATCCCTCTAAGTTGATCTGCAATCTAAAACATCATCAAAATAAACCAATACTTTTAACATGCCAACTGACTCCCTGTAGATAGAGGCTGTTTCAGTTTTTGCTAAAATTGCTGAAGCCAACGTTACCTTGTCATACGTGAATCTGTGAAGGTGCGCAGGTAATGTAGTGACTTCATCTTTTCATTGAAGCTGAATACCTCAATTGAATCATGCTGATGCTTGTGATTCACAACAAAGACAGTTGCTGCAAACAAGATAAAAGCATTCCAAAGAAAACACCAGATAAGCATATTTATTACAAGACAGGTACTAAGCTACAATCTGGGGGTGGATCTTGGTCCAATAAATGACTGCAACATTGAAGGGGAGGGGGGGATCTTTCCACCATGCTTCCCACGAGGTGTTCCAACTATTTTGTCCAAGATTGTAGCTGTTTCAGCGATGTCTTCCAGTGGGCATGTGTGGGAATTAAACCCAGGTCTCTTTGAGTCTCCAGTCGTGTATTTAACCACTGGACTTAATGTGCCGACTTGCTTTCACCGTCACGAGTTTGGCCCTGCAGTAGCTTCAGATTTGCTGGTTTATTGCCATTTGGATTTAATTGGAATCACATTGATAATGATCCCCACAGCCAGGAAGGGGGAGGCAACCAATGCTTTCCTTGCCCGCTTGGCTTAGGGTTGACAAGACGCGATTACAAGCCACCTTCTTCTTCCTCCCCTTGTCAAAATTTTTTTTCCAACTCATCTTCACAAGCCCAAAATCTAAATATTTGCAGACACATTCCTCCGCTGCATGGATACAAGCTCTATTTTTAGATTCATTTGCATATGCAGCTGGCTACCTTTTAGCAGTTGACTTTAACAGTCAGTAGACGAATGCCCTCTATTGGTCCAATTTGTGAAAAATCAAGCAAAATAATAATAAATCTTTTGGACCCACAAACTCCCCTACTTAATTGATCTACTCCTGGAGATCATCTTGATTTATACAAATTGAAACTGTTAAGAACACAGCTTTAACAAGCTAAATTCTGTATTGCACCTGTGAACAACTTGTTCAACAAAGCCTAACACTCGAAACACTCTTTCTGATTCAGTAGAATACATTGCAGATAGTTATCTACCAAAACCTGTTTTCAAAATATTTTAGAAGTTGTCTGAGGGTTCTCTGATACTTGTTTATCCCCCATTAACCCTAACTCCCTAGGGTGTGCGCAAAATCATATTATAATTGGAGGATTCAAGTGCACCCTGTAGAGATTAAACCTTGGATACTTTAGGTCATGGTGGTGCCAGACCCACCAATGGTCCTCCTTCAGAGTTTCCACCTCAAACAGTTTGCTGACATGGTTGAAGGCATCTGCCTTCTCGTTAAATTTGGAAACCGACACTTGACCCTGCCTCATATTTTCTGTACGTGGTAAGACTGGTAGAAACACTACTTCACAAGGTTTAATACCAAACTTGGTTTAATCACAAAGGTACAAAGCAAGTCACATACAGACCTTGGAGTTACACCCACAATACATAAATCATTAGTCCCTAGGTTAATTATCAAAATGGAAGGCTTTCTTGGGCAATCGTTTGGCAATGACGAGAACAATTGGCATTAATACGATTAAGGGTCAGGCCTCCCTCCCCAAGGCAAGAGATTGGCAGTGTTCCCCTCTCTAAATCTGTATTTACTGTGGCTTTTCGCCTACCAGATAAACACCTCACAAAACTGTGACCAAATAACAAGAATCCCATGTTTGGTGACTGTGGTGCTAGAGGATGCCTCTTCCTCTCCAACTTATGTTCAGTTCAAATAAAACTTGAAAAACATTTCAACACAAAGTATAACTGGAAGCACTTATTTACAGGCTATTGTGTACCTGTACATTTATACAGGTACATTTGTAAACATATTGGCTAGCCAACATTACCAAACCAGTCCCCAAAGAAGAGTGAAGCAAAATGGCCACGTAAGGAAGACTGGATACCCCAAATCTCTTCCAAGAGCACATCCGAGTCCCATGCAACCACATGCTATCCCCCAAGGAGGCTACTTTAAAACAGAGCGGGGCAGCCTGTGTGGGTTGTAGTGAATCCCCTTATTTCGTCTCTGTGACCTCCTTTGTTGAAGTGCAGGATTCATCTCTAAGGCCCATAAAGGCTCTGCTACTTTATCATTCTCTAAACCCTGCTCAAACGTCAAGTCACTCGGTGTGGTCTTGGTTACAATCACATCAAATTCAGACTCATCGCCTAGCTCTGAGCCATGCACTACCTAAATCCGAAGTTTTTGCAGTTTACTGTCTTTTCGGCTCCACCATCCAATTGATGGATGTGACACACGTTGTCATGTTCATTTTTCCATGTTTATACAACATATGATGCATTGTCGTGAGCATCTTTCAATTTGTAGCGACCCCTAAAAGTGCACCTTTTTAACAATACCTGTGAACCAACAGCTAAGGGTACAGCATTAACCTTATCATAGTGCATGGTTTTGTTCTGAGGAGTTCTTTTACCAAGACCCTGCCTGCTCGAGCAGTTCAGACTGCTCAGGCACACAGTCTTATCCCCAGTTACTATCACTAACACCCAAAATTTGGTCTAACAGAATTAACAGCTCTCTCCAAACATCAAAGTGTATGGAGCCACGCTGGTTGTGCAATGAGGAGTGGAATTGTACATGAATAAAAAATTTGAAAAGAAGTCAGGCCAACATTGGCGTTCACTTTCGCTGAATAATTTGGCACAGTTTGGGCACTTTGGTTCTGACATGAAACTGCCTGCACATACTTCGTCTACACATCAGTCATTACAAGAATGTCTTCATACGCCCCACAATCCCTGTCAATTTAAACAAAAATAAGAACTTCCTATGGCCTGAAAGCTAACAAGTGATGCATGGGAACCTTTGACGTAGGTTCTGACACCTTTACTTTAGCACAGCGCTCTCATTTCCATATTTGAGCTCGTACATCTGCCACCATTCTTGGCCAGAAAATGTGCCTTCGCAGAAGCGAACAAGTGGGGGTGTCCCCAGCCTTCGTGTCAACTCTCCAGGGCCCTGGAGTGAATGGACAGACACTTGGAAAAGGATCTTCCAACCTTCGACACAAGAAACCCTCTCATTCCATGAAACATGACCACTGCCACAACCACTTTTTCAATTCAGATGGATCTTTTTTGCCCCTGGGAATTACTTCCCCTGGTAGCCATCTCTGATCCCAGCATTCCCAAACAAAACTCAAGCAGGGATCTGATTTTTACAAAGCTGCAATCTGTTCTGAGGACCATGATGGAAAAACTCCGGGTGGACATGCCTGTGTGGGTCCGTCCTTCTCTGGAGTGCATTCTATATTAAGACTGTGAACGTTCCAATCAAGTAATCTCTAAACTTACATGGTATCTACAACTGCCCATTTTAAACCAAGCAGTTCTAGCTTGAATGAACTGTAATCTAGGTTTTTTACTCTGCACCACGCAAACCCCTACTTGCATAGGCAACAGGATGTAGCCTTCCATTGAGGTCATGTGGTGCCAAACACACCAAGCCCCTTTAAGGAAGCATCCAATTCCAGAACAAAGGGTCTCCTAAAATCGAGATATGCTAACACTGGGGCCTGTACCAACACTTGCTTGAGTTTCCCAAACGTAGTATGTGCATCGGTGTACCAGGTAAATTCAGTAACCGCTCAAAGCTTACCCTTTTTGACAGGTGGGAGTAGAGCATGTAGTGGTGCAGCTATTGTAGCAAAACTCTTGACAAAAACGGCGATAATAACTTGTCAGCCCGAGAAGCGAGTGCAATTCCTCTGGCCCCTTTGGCACTGGTCAGTCATGAATATGTTATCTTTTCTTTGTGCATTGATGACATGCCCGAGGTTAATTACCTCGTTACAAAACAAACACTGTTTGTCCTTGATCCTAGGCTAGGTCCTAGGCCAAATCCAAAGCTTTGAGAAATCCTTGTCTAGACGCTGCAATGTTCTTCTAACTTAACTTAGAAGAGTACGCCAATATATCATCCAGATATATTAGCAACTCTGACAAGCTCATGTCACCTAAGCACTGCTCCATTTTCCTTTGGAATGTTCCTGGCGCATTCGCCAATCCAAATGGCATTCGTGTAAATTTGTACAGCCAAAACGGTATGCAAAATGCTGTTGTCACTACCAAACTGGGATCCATAGCAATCTGATGGTTGCCATGGGCTAGATCAATAGCCAAGAAATACTCAGCACCCTGCAAAGCCTCAAGTGACTCCTCTATTCGAGGAAGGGGAAATGCATCCCTGCAATCTTCACATTTAATTTCCTATAGTCAATGCACAGCCGTAACCCTCTGTCATGCTTCCTCATGAGCACTACCGTGCTCATATACGGACTCTCGCTCGGCTTTATGGTACCCTGATCAAGCAGATTTTGAAAAAAGGTTTTTACCTCTTGCACTCAGTGGGGTGAGATTCTTCAGTAGGGCTCATTGACAACTTGGTTGTCAACTGTGTTTATTTTGTAAGGTATCCGGTTATAGTAACCAACATCAAACTGGCTCTTTGAAAAGACTTGGTCATGTTTTTGAAGAAGGCAACCTGTTCTTTCTCATCCTGGTCCAAACTGCAAGACTCAAGGCTTAACCACTTCCTGCTGGGCGACCCGTTTTCAGGTACATAGGTTTTATAAGCAGAGCTGGGGAGCCCAGAACTGGGACAAAAGAGTTGGGCCTTATAACAAAAGACCGTGCTCAGCACATAAGACTGAACTGCTGGGCATTACCGCCATTTTTTCGTTCTCAATAGTGGAGATAATCCAGCCTTGTTTTGAAACAGTATACCACGGTTTGAGGCATTTAGAGCGAGCGGATTATCATCGGGGACAAAAGCTCTCCACCACCGCAGCGATGAGCCACACAGCACTACTGTACGCTAATCTGGCCCCTATTGACAAGAGGTCAGCAGTGCACTCTGCCGGTTTCAGGAAAAAAAGAATCTTGTGTAACACCGCAAAATCTGGGCTCTTTTTCCAACAATGTAGGCCTGGCTGAAATATTAAAAAGTCAATGAAGGTTAACTGTCAGCTTTAGAATAGTGCCAAAAGATTTCTTCATGTGGGTAAAAACGGCCATTGAATGAAACGATAAATTTTTTAAGAATTTTGAAAACGGAGAATCTTGAAAAGGACCCGGCATCTTGTCTTGCTCAAGAAAAATCCACCCGGCAGCAAGTGATTAACCCTGGGAGTAAGCAATATTT